GACTCTCTGCCCATTGAAAATCGCTTAGCTGGACCATGGTGGAAGTACACAGAGAAAAAATTCTGGTTTGCCAAATCAGCCCATCAAATCAAAGTGGAGATGCAGTAACAGAAAGCCTCAGACACACTTACTATCTTGGTAACTAACTAGCACCCTGAGGCACCTCATGATGCTAGAATCTGCTTTTATCTTAAAGAGAGGGTTACATTAGTAAATTAGAGTGGAATTAAAAGCTTATAGATTAGTCTTATATTTTTCAATAAATAAACTTTGACTATTCTTTATGAGCTCTTTATGTTGAATTTGTTTTTAAAAATGTAAACATATGCCAGTGTGGTGGTTCACGCCTTTAATCCCAGCACTTTGAGAGGCTGAGACAAGAGGATCAGTTGAGGCCAGGAGTTTCAGGCCATCCTGGGCAACACAGGGAGACCACATCACTACAAAAAATAAAAGTAAAAATAAAAATTAGCTGGACATGGTGACATGCACCTGCAGTTCTTGCTACTTGGTAGGCTAAGGTGGGAGGATCCCTTGAGCCCAGGATTTTGAGACTACAGTGAGCTATGATCGCACCACTGCCCTCCAGCCCAGGGGATAGAGCTAGACTCCATCTCAAAAACAACAACCTTAAAAATAAATAAAAAACATAGACATGCTTATCAAGAATTTGCACATTACCTGTGAATTCCAAAAGCACGAAATTATTTTTTGAGATTAATGTGTACATAAGAGCATAATCCTTTTTCACTTAATGTGTCACATAAACAGTATATGAGAACAACAAAGGGTGTGCCTATTTTTGTGTTTTCAGGATGCATTCAGTGTGAAAAAAGAAAATATCTCGGGGTTGTTATTTACTTGATTTATGGAGTGGACTTATATTCAGTAATGGCCTTCACTAGATGAGAAGATATTCTGAATTTGCCTGCTTTTCTGTGTTAAAACTGTTTGGCAGATGTTAATTTTAAGGGATAAGGATACATATTTGAGAAGACAAAAACATCATGTTGTTGTTTTTATAATACAAAGGCAGAATAAGAAACCCATCTCTCAATGCATAACAATTTTAGCCATTTAAATAGGAATAAAAGCATTGATTCCCATGAAAACAAGCATGATGAAATAACATAAGAGCTTTGAATCTTGGAAGGTTTTACACATAAATGACCCCCTGAACAGTAATCCTGGAGCTATAATATATATGTAGATCGTCTCTGCAATGTTCTCTTGTTCAGAGTACACCCTGTCAGCCGATCCCTCAATATAATGTATTTGCAACTGTCTACTATTCAGCAGCCTTCTGAAATGTGCTGGTGCTATTAAACTTCTCTATTCCATTAGTCACACTCCTAGGTAAAACCTACGTAGGAGTTTCTAGACTCCACAGCCTGCTTTTCCTGATAAATGAAACCTACATTCCAGCCAAGCTATTTGCTCTTCTTTGCCACTATGCAATATTTTAGCTGATAAGCTAACAAGAATCAGCATTTACTAATCTAGTTAACAACTTTTCCAAACATATTTTTCATTTTGATTTTAGTGAACAGTGATGTTCATGAAGATGAACATTCAAGTTGCAATCTAAATTTCCTTAATGCAATCATCTCCTTCAGGAGAAAAGCCAATTTCCTTTGAGTATGATACAGTATCATTCTTAACAGAGCCCCAGCTTTTCTCCCCAGCCTCTTCCCTTGCCCCCTCCCCATATATCGTCACACTTTACACAGCCCACTTATGTCAGTAGTCCCACCAGTGCCCTGGGTTCCTTTAAGCTCCTGAGTCCTTGAACTTTTCTGTTCATCTGAACTGTCCTTTTCCACTCTCTAGAAGAATTATTTCTGTTCCCGTTCAATGCCCCCAACTCCTATCTATTCCTAGTCCCTCTTAAAATCCAACTGGAGGTTGACTGCTCTACTCTGAAGTCTCAAAACATGCTAATCTTCACAGATTATCTTGTATTCTCATTGTCGGCCTAGTTAGTATTATGTGCCCCTTGACTAAGTTTCAAGAGGCCAAACATGATCTTTTATCTGTCTTCCAGGGGTTCGTTGAAGAACCAACATACAACAAACAAAAGTCAAACTGGTTGTTGACAGTTTACTTTCGTGGGCCTGCATCCTTAAAATTGTCTTATAAAAATATCCTAATTCATGAGAAATATTAGAGGAAGGTAAGGCCCAGCTTACTTAAAAGCAAAGAATTAACTATTCTCTATTATATAAAGTAAAAATCAGATTAAACACTACTATTTTAATGCAGTATATAAAACTTTTACTAAGTATCACTGAACTATTTTCTGAGACATAATTTTACTAGATCTGCATAATAGTAAGTCACAGAGCCCTCCTTTGCTTCGGTTCCTTGTTTGGTGCTATGAACTTTTAAATGTATATTGTTTATTGTATTTCCCCCAGTTTTCATATGTCACCATGATTTTTAAAGTGGCTCTTTTCATTTTCATAACTTTTCTCCAATGCACATAGTAATTATGTCGGTGGGAAGGTATGCATTTGTATTTAGTCCATTGGCTAAGGTCCACATGTAAAGTACAGATCTGATTAATAAACAATCTGGTTAATAATAATTTTGTCTGCATCATGAAGAAAAACTGTGACATTACTCGGAAATTCAACACATTGAAATCGAAAGTACTAGAATGATCTACTTATACAAATTGTCTTTTGAAACACTGCAAGACACTTGAGTAAACCAGCCATCAAACTGGACGCAGCATTTTGATGGTCATTACCTATAGTTTGTAAGAACTGAAAATTTGTAAGGGTAAAATTTAGTATATACAGTACCTTATTAAGCAGCGGAAGAGACTAGTAGGTCGAATCCTGCCCAAGAGGTTTTGCAATTTTCTCTTAAAAAAAAAAAAAACACCTATTTCTCCCGCATCCCCAACACCCACAGCGCTTGTTAAAAGAAAATGGATACGGATGCCCCATCCCTTTGGTTTCTCAAGGCATTTTACTTAGAACGAGGTCACCTAGTAAGCCCCATGTGGTGAATGTGCACCTGGACAGGGCATGAGGGTCCTTGGAAAGCACCGCAGGGAGGGCGACCCCGCAAACCGGTGTCCCGCGTGATCCCCGCGGAGAGCCCGGGCAGAGCTGCGCTCGGTGCGCCTGGGCAGCGTCTGGCACCCACGCGACCTCCTGCTCCCGCGGCTCTGGCTGGGGCGAGGGGCGGAGTGGGCAGGATCTTCAGATCAAAGGAGACCGATGCTTGCCCATCCAGCCTAAGAGCCAGAATCTAGGTGACCCCAGATCTTCCCAGAGTGTGCCTGTTGCCTTTCCTTCTCAGAACTCCGAGAGCCAACGCTAAGGGGCACCAGAGGCTCAGGCTGCGGCGGCGGCTCGCAGGCACCCAGCTGGCCCGCGGCTGAGGAGGTCCTCGGAGAAGCCCACCCGGGCGGGGGCTGGGCGCAGACGGGCGGGGCAGGGGGAGGGTCGGAGCCGCTCCGGAGGGTCCAGGTCCAAGGAGGAGCCCTCGGAGACGCGGACGGTGCACGTGGAGGCCAGGGCTAGGGTCACCGCTTCTTCCCACGACTCTAGAAGGCCGCTTCTCATCGTTCACTTTAGAATAGGAAAACATGGACAGATAGGTGGGTGTTCCCCGGGCAGCTGCACGGTCGATGCAGGTGCACAGGCGCGCACGCACCGTCCCGGGTCACACATCAGGACGGAATCACCACACGCGCCGGGAGCGCGGATCTCAGGGTCCGGGATCCGAGGCGCATTCAGAGACCAAATGTCACCTCGTCCCCGCCCCCCCCCCCGCCCCCCCGGCCAATTCGAGCGTTCTCCGCGTCCACCTTCCCTCGCAAGTGGCTGGGTCCTCAGTTCAGAGGACTCTGCCCAGACCCTCGCCCGAGTGGAGACCTCCGCCCGGGCACCGGCAACTCGGACGCTTCCGGGAGCCTCCGCGGCCACGCCGTCCTCAGCCTGACTTTTTATCTTTCTTTCCAGTGATTAAAACAGCATATCGTGGACAGGGGTAGGACAAGAGGGAGCAGGTGCCGGAGCCCGGGGAGCCTGGCGGGGGCCCCTTAGCACCACGGCCCCGCCGCCGCCGCCGCCGCCGCCGCCCGTCCGTCCGCCCGTCCGCCCGCCCCCGCGCGCCTTCGCCCTCCTCCCGGGCCGAGCCGGCGCCACTGCGCCAGGATGAAGCGAGCTCGGCGCGGGAGGAGATGACGCAAAAACCAGCACTCCCCCCAAAAAAGTGTTTCTCCAGGACGAAGATGGCGGCACCTTAGCCCGGGGACTGAAGATGACTGTGGCTCTCGGGAGGCCCAGCCCAGGCGATTCGGCCCGGAGCTCCGCGGGAGGCGGCGTCAGCAGTCGGAGCCCCGGCGGCGGCGCCCGCGGGCGGCCCTGCGGCAGCGGCGGCGGCGGCAGCACTTAGAGCGCGAGGTGGGGGGTGGGGGGGAGGGAGCGCCCCGCCGGAGGCAGCCCAGGCTCCGGACTCTGGGAGAGCCGGCGCGGAGCAGGAGCGGGAGGCGGAGGAGAAGAAGGAGAAGGAGAGGAAGGAGGAGGAAGAGGAGGAGAAGAAGAGGAGGAGGAGGAGGAGGAGGGGAGGCGCTCCGGGCGCCGTCAGTGGGCAGCGGAGGCGCGGCATGCCCCTGGCAGGGGAGAGCGGGCTGGGCTCCGCGGGGCCATGGGGACCCGCGCGCTGACAATGCCTGGGTGACCGGAGCCGCGCCAGCCACCCCGCCACCTGCACCTGCACCATCGCCCCCTGCACCCAGCCTCACCACCGGCCACCAGCAGAACCAGCCTCCTCCGTCTCTCTCTCTCTCTCTCTCTCTCTCTCTCTCTCTCTCTCTCTCTCTCTGCCCATTATTGTTTCCCACTCTACAGAGGATGGGGTCGGCTGATGATTAGGTCGGAAGCAAGTCAGACCTTCCTTCAAACCCTGGTAATATTTATGTAGGCAAAAAAGAGAAAGAGAAAAGAGAGGGAGAGAGAGGGGGGAGAGAGAGAGAGAGAGAGATAGATAGAGAGAGAGAGAGAGAGAAAGAGAGAGAGAGGAGAGAGAGAAGAAACGGGAGGAGGGGATAAGGAAATTAAACCCTTTAAGTCAATGCATATTGTGGTGACACCGGCACAGGCGCCCTCACGGTGGAGTCGGCCAGGGCTGTGCGTTCCCAAAATATGACCAGGGGTGCTTGGATGTGTCGGCAGTATGACGACGGCTTAAAAATCTGGTTGGCAGCACCCCGGGAGAACGAGAAACCGTTCATCGATTCCGAGAGGGCTCAGAAATGGCGACTGTCTCTGGCATCTCTCTTGTTTTTCACAGTCCTGCTCTCTGATCACTTGTGGTTCTGCGCCGAGGCCAAGCTGACCCGGGCCCGGGACAAGGAGCACCACCAGCAGCAGCAGCAGCAGCAGCAGCGGCAGCATCAGCAGCAGCATCAGCAGCATCAGCAGCAGCATCAGCAGCAGCGGCAGCGGCAGCAGCAGCAGCAGCAGCAGCGGCAGCGGCAGCAGGAGCCCTCCTGGCCCGCGCTCCTGGCGAGCATGGGGGAGTCCTCGCCCGCCGCCCAGGCACACAGACTCCTCTCCGCCTCCTCGTCCCCCACCCTGCCCCCCTCCCCGGGAGACGGCGGCGGCGGCGGCGGCGGCAAGGGCAACCGAGGCAAAGACGACCGGGGCAAGGCTCTTTTTCTAGGAAACTCTGCCAAGCCCGTGTGGCGCCTGGAGACTTGTTACCCCCAAGGCTCGTCCTCCGGCCAGTGCTTCACGGTGGAGAATGCCGACGCGGTGTGCGCCAGGAACTGGAGTCAGGGGGCGGCCGCGGGGGAAGGGCGGGAGGTGAGGAGGGAGCATCCCACCCCACCCTGGAACTTGTCAGATTTTTACCTTTCGTTTTGTAATTCCTACACACTTTGGGAGTTGTTCTCGGGGTTGTCCAGTCCCAACACTTTGAACTGCAGTCTGGATGTGGTGCTCAAGGAAGGTGGTGAGATGACCACTTGCAGGCAATGCGTCGAGGCTTACCAGGACTATGACCACCATGCTCAGGAGAAGTACGAAGAGTTTGAAAGCGTGCTCCACAAATACTTACAGTCGGAGGAGTACTCGGTGAAATCCTGTCCTGAAGACTGTAAGGTAGGAACCCTGGGGGATTCCCCCTTTCTTACACTTCACTTTCTCTGTTTGCTTGGTTGGGTGTCTTTTCCAGTTTAATTTATTTTGCTTTTTGGCTCTGGTTTTTTTTACTTTAATTGTGTTTCCTATGGTTATAAAGAGCTTGGCTTGCTGTTTGAGTTGAGAATAGCTGGAGGACTGACTGGTGCCTTCTTCCGGGAGTCCTTGGAGGACATCAGGGAAATAAATCCGTGGTTATCTGAGATAATAAAGTTGGCACTTTAACTGTTTCTTACATCCATGCAGTTGGCTCAAACTCTGTTAGGTCTTTTAAAAAAGGGAAGTTGAAAAAGTCTTGTCAGGACAGCAATGAGACTGTACACTGATGCTCATAGGTAAAGTCAGAAGAGTTCGAGACAGGCATGTGTGGTTTGCAAGATAGATCTGCACACAGGAACGCTCTGATAGTGACATCATTAAGCTGGTTGAGCGAGAGAAAGTGGTTATAGTTGTTTAGATAGTAAAAAAAAATTACCTGTTTTTACAGGGTAATTCTGGTTGTTTAGAAAGTCTGGGGGCCTACCTGAGGATATTTACTAAGTTTCATGTTTCCTCTTGGACGTTTGTATAATATTGACCTGGGACTCACTGTAAATGACAAGTTGTACTTAAGTGTCTAGTGATTGATTAGCAATAGCTATTTATCAGACATCGTATGTAATTAGCTTGGGTTTTCAGTATGCTTTTCGGAAGCATTAAATGGCAAAACGTTGATGCTATACTTAAAATTTACTGAAATATTTAACAGTAGGTATTATATTTAAGACCTCCTTGTTCAATGTAATAAATAATATAACCCTTGCTGATGGGCAAGTGAGAAGTCTGTGCAAGTTTCTGAAGAATTGGTCAATGCAAATGCAGCCTTAGGTGCAGGTTTTAATAGAAGTGCCTCTGTCCGTGGTGCTGAAATGAAATTTACCCAAGCGCTGTATTGAAGATGAAGATACTGCAGTGACCTTTAGTAGGGAAGATGTAATGACGGAATCTCTATAGACCTTACTGCTTTGTTCCAAGGGTAATTTCTTAAACGACACGATAAACTGGCACTGCTTTTTAAAAGAAATAATACACCACATTCTCTCTCTCACTCTCTTCCTCACTCCTACTTTCCCAGTCCACATACAAACAAAACAACTGTCCCTCTGTCTCACTTGCTTTCTGCTGGGAAAATGAAGTCATGGGTGGTATAGATCAAATAGTTTTGTGATTATCTGGCAGGAGAACTGGACTAAGGGATGCCTGTTTTAAATGAACATAGTTGAAGGGCCATATTTTACTTTGGGTGGATTAATTGTGCTTTTGACAATTATGTTAAACTCATACTGACCTTGCCTTATTATCATTCTCTAAGACCAGAAACACAGATCTCTGAAAACAGTAAGGCTGAATTTACAACACTAATTTAGAGTGATACTTCACTAGACAAGTGTATCTTAAACTTTTCTATTTAGTTTTTTAACCATATTACATAACTTATACCTGGGAATAAAACTTTAATGGTAGAAATTAACAATGAATGACTATTGCAATAATTGCTTGGTTATTTAATTCGACAAGATGTGTTGCATTGAAATTGTAAAGAAAAGGAGACTCTATGTCTGCTAATTCTACTACTAATAAAAAGATTGCAGAGGTTTCAGTATAGTTGTGTTTAATAGTGGTAATAATTGGATTTGCCTCCTTCCCTAATTGTGAATGATTTTCATTTGTATAACTCAGTATTTAAAAGATAGTTTGTGTTGACAATAGATTGCAGCATATTTTCAAATAAGCATGTAGAAGACATCTTAGTTTAAATACATATATTAAAAACTTTTCTTTCCCCTTGCCCTAAATTACTTCTCAATTGTATATTTACATAATCACAGCTATAAAGTACAGTGTAAGAAGTTAACTCATTTATAATGTTATTGCCAACTTCTGAATTATGTTTTTGTGTAACGTAGAAGTTAACTGTATGCACAAAAAAAGCACATTATGAAAACCTTAATTTCTTTAAAAACTTTTTCTTCACATTGAAAAGTAAACATAGACACTTAAGAGAATTAATTGCATGTTATGTCTTGCAGATATTTATTGGTTGTGGGGTGTTTTTCTGTTGTAGTTGCTTGGAAACTTGAAACATTTATTCCATAGTAGCTGTTGCCAAACATGACAGTTTTGAATTTAAAGTGTGGTGTTCTTAGTTAAGACTCACAAATCAATTGATTATATGTAGAAAGTTAGTAGAAGCATAGTTTCTTAGTTTAACATATAATTTATCTTTGATTCTGAAAAAGCCATAAATACATTTATGTATAAACTATACCACATGGCTTAAAATGTTTTTGTCCTTGAAAGATGTTCCTGAGTTTCTTTCTGAACACCTTTACTTATTTCAGATGGACTTATGTATATGAAATGACTATCATTAGGAGCCTTGTTCAAGATAGAAGCTCTACACAAAATTTTTCCTTTCTGAAGGCATCTAGAAAGTCATAGGCTACATTAAAAGTAAATGTATTATATTTCTGTAATTGGTAATGTTTTCATTAACAATTAATTTTACTTTATGATTTATAAATATATTTATTAAGATTATAGAGAAAAATACATAAAATCATTTTAGCCCTACAAATTGTTGGGATTCATATTTTAGAAAAACTATTAACTTTATTATACTCATTTATAATTAAATGAGTAATGCACTGATGTCTAACTTTTTAGAATTAGGATGATTTATTACTTTCTACTTATATGTTCTCTCCTCACTTAAAATTGCTACATTTCATATTAAAAAATAGATTAAATTTCACTTTGATATAAATTGCTTAAGAAACTACTTGACCAGTTATTCAAAAGAAACCCCATAGAATAGATCTAATAAAATTATAGTGTCTTAAATTTATAGTAATTGCAGATCAAATACAGATTAGATTTACTTCTGTATTGCAACATATCATAGAAAAAATTTGCACTCAATAATGTTTTTAAATATTCTGATAAGTGGCTTGGTTAATTTTCTTCAAAAGTAAATATATGTATTTATGAGGGAAATTATGTATGGATAAATAACACAAGATGTTGAATATAGCATTAATTCTATAGCATTTTTCTACATTACATAATTTGAGTAGTAAATATTACAGCAGCAATTTTCCTGTAGTTTGTGGTACTATTTAAAACAGTGTTTTTGATGCAGAATAAAGAGCTGACAAAGCTGCCAAGATTTTTAAGTTGTCTGACAATATTAAAAAATGAAATATTTTAAGTTACAAAATTACGAATTTTTTAAACAAACATGCTTGATTTTACTCAAATACATATTATCTCTTGTATGTGCCATTCTTTAGTTCCTGGGAATTCTTGCAAATAAATCTGAAAGTGAGGAATTTATGGGATATAAACTTTTATGTTACAAACTTATGTAATTATTGATAGCTTTATTTAGTTACTATAGGCTCAAACAGTTGGTCAGTGTAAGTGGGTTTGAGATTAGATTGCAAAATAAATCATTGTACCATCTGTACTTTAGTTCTGTCAGTATAAAATCGTAACTTTTATTCTATCAGGAATGTATGAATGCTCACATTTTGTTTTTACAGTCTTATATTAAAGCAGATTATATTGCTTATTTTTATTTAACAGACACTGACAAAAAGAATACCTCTCAAGTATTAGGCGTATATAATACTTAGCAGTCATGATATCCAAGACTCGTTCATCTGGACCACCCACAAACATTACTCAGTTTGAGAACATAGACTTTGGTTTACATAATGTACAATTTTAAAAGAAAAAAGTACGTTTCTTAAATTCTTATGTATTTTAGTGTTACACACTAAATATTCATCAGAAATAGTTTTGAAGAAGAAATCAAGTATTGTACAATTTTTTTCACTTAAATTTTGAACCAAAAATATTATTTTGCTCTTTACTAAGTGCTATTGTAATATTATGCCACCATTCAGAAGTGTGGAGTTCACATCTATAAATATAACTTTATAATATTCAACCACTTTATTTTCAAATAATTTTTATAGTTGAATTGCTTCTTTACAAGATCAGTCTTACCATGCAGATGATTACTTAACTTTTTTTATTGATACATAATATTTATATGTATTTTTATTGCTTTACCATTAATAAAGCTGTTTATGAAATTGAAGAGAATAACATAATCATTTTAGTTTATGGTTTTTTTTTCTTTTTGCTCCATGTACAACTATTGATTTATGATCTGTGTTTTATTTTTATAGATAGATATCCAAAATTACATCTTATTATTAGATATTTGTTTTTTCACAGACCAAGGAATATATCTTTTTACTTTGGACTTGTAACTAGGTCAAATTAGTGGCTACATAGTTATGATCACAAAGTTTAAATAATTGCTGTTATATATGTATTTTAATCTCTTTTATTAGGTGAAGTTAGTGTCCACATATACACTGTGAATTAAAGCATTAACAAAGGAAATCTAGCAGTGCTCTCATTCTCATCCTCCTCCACAAATAAATCATAATTCATTAATATATTTTTACCAAATGTAATGTACATGAACAAATGTGGACAACTATTTTAACCAAAAGACTATTTTGATTTAAATGATGTGAACTATTACTTCAATTTTATTTCTCAATTTATTTAAAATAATATTTATCCTCTGTGTTGATCTCACAATGACTAAGCATGAAACATTTGGTTGTTTATATTTATTTACATTGCAAAGACTTTTTTTCTGTATCAGTGAACATATACTCTAGGTTAGTGGTCTTGTTGGGGTCACAATAGAACATCTTGAAAAGCTTTGAGGGCACTAAGGCCAGGGCATTCCCAATCCTAAGAGATTCTGATTTTATCGTTCTGCTGGTGTCATGGATCTGGGCTCTGTCAGAGTTTCCCTGGTGATTCTGATGTACAGCCAAGGTTGGGAACCACCATTCTGGTTCACAGTGACAATTAATGTAGAATGACCTTTC